AGGTGAGGGTTGACGAGTGAGGGGACATTAAAGAGGGAGATTGTCCGGAGAATCGGAGCAGTGGGAGTGGTACTACAGTCGCTACTACACCACACCATTGTGACAAATAGTGACCTGAGCCGGAAGGCAAAGCTCTCGATATACCGGGAAATCTTCGTTCCTACCCTCACCTATGGTCATGAAGACTGGGTAGTGACTGAAAGAACTAGATTGCGTGTTCAAACGGTCGAAATGAGTTTTCTCATGAGGGTGGCTGGCCTCTCCCTTAGAGATAGGGTGAGAAGCTTGGTTATCTGAGAGGAACTCAGAGTAGAGCCACTGCTCCTTTGTGTTGAAAGGAGCCAGTTGAGGTGGTTCGGACAGGCGGGGTGGGGAAGCGCCGGCCCGCGGGCGGGGGGGTGCGGGGGGGCGGCCCGCGGGGAAAAAACCAAAGGGAAACCCCCCACCAAAGAGGAAAATTAAACCCCCCCCCCGGGGGGGGCCCCCCCGGGGTCCCTGAGTCAGAGCTGGTTAATGTGGCTCGGGAAAAGGAAGTTTAGGGTCCCCTGCTGGAGCTGCTGCCCTCGCGACCCAACTAACGGATAAGCGGTTGAGGATGGATGGATGGACATCTTTTTGATTTTATAATTAGATATCATTTAACCAGAAACTCTTTTAACTTGCAGTGGAAAATTTATTCAATATAATACTTTTTTCTTGAAAAAGTTCAAGATTCTCCTGCCATGTCAGGATCAATGTCGGAAAACATGTGGAATTGACTGCAGAGACGTCTTTTAGTGAAGAGAAAAGGCCCACAGCTCTTCAATTTCACACTGACCTGGAGGGGACATGTATTTATCATGTGCTTCCGATAAATATAGATTAATCACATATATTCATCTAAATCCGTGGTCTCAACAGCTGTAGGTTCTTCTGACTGGATGGTAGTCACCATGGTCTTTCTCTTGCCCTCCAATGAATCTGATTTGTCTCCCTCTGGACGAACAGTTGGTTGCCATTTAGTACAAACATAACTAACTACTTCTGTTCTTCTTCTCCTGATGGCATCATCATCACCACTGCCGTCATCACTGGACCTCTTCCTAGCCTGTTGGATTCGATGACTGGCATTGTCTCTATTTTCGTGTTCAACTCTGGATTGAAGCTGTCTGAGCAGTGAATAATAACCATATCCCAGCTGCTCACCTTCCCCAGTTTTTATCAACAAACATAAAAAGGCACAATTGGAAACAACTGCTCTGGGGACTTCTGTACAGGCAGCTTTGTTGGGGTTTTGGCAGTGTACTTGGATCACTTCAACAACAGCTTTTCTCATTACTCTTCTGTCTTCTGGGTGAGCCAGCTTACCTCTTTCCATGACCTGTAACAGTCGGGCTGGTATTTTGTCCCAGGGAACTTCAAAGCTGTTGATCCAGGAGGACTTGTCTTAGTTTGAGGATGGTTGACATTGTGACAGTTGTGAAAATCCATCTGGCAGGAGAAGCAAGGGCGGAAAACTTTGGGTTTCATGTGACCTTCTGAAGGACTTAAAGCTATTTGCCAATTTGCTTGATTCTGCATGTACAGAATATTCAAACATTAATACATTAATACAAGGTCATGGTTATATTTGAAAAAGAACACAGTGCTTGGTGAAATCATACCCCTGGAAAATATGTCTCGAATGTTTTGGTATTTCTTTTCATTCCAAATACATATTTTCAAAATAGTCTGTTATGAATTCCAAAATGAATTAACAGTCCAGACATTCGGTTTTTCGGCTCTATCATCAGTTACAACAAACATTCGGTCTTCTCTCTTTCTGATAAAATAACATCTCTCACATGTGCACCACGTGTCCTCAGTGTCTCATTTTCCAGTTGTAATTTTTTTCAGCATCCATGTCTGTAATGGTTTAAAAAGAGCATACTGCGTGATGCAGGGAGACAACTTTCAGCCCTGAAGCATGATATATGGGAAGAGGTTAGAAATCACACAAACTGTCAGTCTGAACACACATGAATCTCTCTTCAGAATTTCCTAGCAAATGAAGTCAAGCTCATTCAAAAGCACTGGCTGAAGCATGTCAACCACAAAGTGCACTTGTGTATGACTGATGAGAATTACTGAGAGTCTTCCTAAAAACTAAGTCATATTCATTGCCATTCAAGACAAAAACAAGCCCTCGGCTATACTTTGTCCATTTGTAGACCACTGATACTTCAAGGACACTGCATGTAAAGCCAGCTGCCCTTACTGCATTCTGAATAACCATAATAAAGCTCATCATATTCTTTGGCTTCACCAACAGCTTCAACTGTAGAGGGAAATATTGAGCCATTGGAAAGGTAAGCTTGAAGCAACTGATGCCTTTCTGCCAGTATTTTGCTTAGATTAATAAAGTTTTCCGGTAAATTCCTTAAAATATGTATGTTTACTCTGAAATCTGAGGGTCCACAAATGAATAAGGGGGCCAAAGTGCAGAATGAGGACACTGTAGTGAAGTAAACAGTGATGTTTCGGTTTCAGTGAATGGTTAGGAAAGAGTATCTCAAATGCACATATTCTTCAATGATTGTCCTCAGCTAAGAAACCCGATTCCCAAATAAGAAACCATCTCCTTTAGCTGTAGACACAGCTGCCAAACTTGACTAGCTATTGAACACTTTATTCTACTGCCAACTAGCAATAACAACAATAACAGCAGACACCAGTTCTGTGCCACAGAGCCCAGAGTCTTTTTCTAACAGCATTACACTCACAAGTTTTATTAAGACCATCACTTCCTAAGTATTTAAATTTTGTGATGGATCTATTTAGTTGAGAATATGTGAAATGTTTTTCTTGTTTAGCTAGATGATTAATATACAGTGCTAACTCATAGGAAACAACTCCTCCAAATAGATCGTGGCCCAAACATGGAGTTAGCCCAGTTCAAACATGAACATGTTTCGGTCAACGTGACTCCCTGTGCTGCTTCTTGGCCAGTGGTGGAAAGCTGGTTCACATTCTCTTTGTGATCTTCAGCTGTTGTTTTGGGCCTGACTTTAGAGGGATATCTGAAAAGCACTTCTGTTGATCAAGAAGTATCTGCAAAAATATACTACAACTGAAGTTTTCATTAAAACCATCAAATACAGTGGGAGCCTAAATTATCTCCACAAATGGAGATTGAAAATGCTTTTCTAATGTCATATCATCTTTATCAAACCCTGCATCCTCCAAATCTTTAAAGTCTACAATAATACTTGAAAACACCTTCTGAACTCCAAATGTCATTCTCTCTGCACAGTAGGACCAACTGTGTGGTTTCTTCCAGGGAACAGTTGTGTTGCTGGATCTCACCAGGACTCATGTAAACTGCTACGATCTTGTGTTTTTATTTTCCTGAGCCAAGTGGATTTGTAACTTCAAATGCAACCTGGTAAACAATGAGGGACAATGAGGGAGTGCTTTCTAAGAGAGAATTTTCTTTGATATGTTTTCTATTATTCACATCCTCCAAAACCACTTCATCACAGTTGTGACATCTTGCTTGGTTACACTACACTTCAACACTGGATTGCCTGAGGAGGTTTTGCAATGTCTCCTTGATAGGAACATACTGACAACAGTGTTCCATGCCAGCAGTATCAGTTCCCTGATAAATCTGTATTAGATCAATGTAATCAAAACACTGCTTGTAGAACGTTTATCTCGTTTTGTCTGATCTCAGTGGTCCGTTATTGTATAGAGTAAAGAGATACTCTTTACTGGGATTATGAATTATATGATCTGTCTCAGTTTGTGGAATGTTCAGTTCTAAAAGCTTCCCTTTCAACTTATCAAAGAAGTCTGCCATACTAGAGGTATGAACATGTTGAAATCCTTCAAGAATGAATTGTATGGTAGTAACACTTTTGCATTTTCAGATAAAAACAGGGCCAAAATAGGTATAAATGACTCATGCTCTAAACATTCCTCCTCTCCATGATCATCTGGTGTTAGAGGATCCATAGAGAAATCTGATACATGAACATATATGCCCATATATCCAAGAAAGGTTTTCATTTATATTATATATATTATACATCACTGTGAAAGTGTGAATAGTAATTTACCCTGAAATTTGCATGTTTGATAAAAACTGTATTGTTGGTTGGACATGTTAGGCCTCTGTGTGTGTGTGTGTACTGCAGCTGATATCGAGGTAGAAGATGCTTGTGGATGTTTGTGAATCTTTCTTAAATTCAGCCAGCAAAGTGTTCTGAAGGGACAAGTGACAGAACAGGGGCGCCTCAGGGGCCAATCAGCTTTCAACTAGGGCCAATGCCCCTTGGCCCTTCCCCGAAACCCACCTTTGATTTAAAACCCACTTCCCCTCACTCTCCTTTCATACAGTGACCGCAAGACTGTTAGTCTTGAACCTGTATCATTTAAATGGGAAACTTTTCTGCAAATGTTTTTTTTTTCTATAACTGTATTATATGTTAGAGAATCCACTCATTTTCTAGACATCACCTGGATCATGGGTTTTTCACTAACTGCAACTGAAGCTGCACAACCCACATGGTGTTGACTTGCCCTTCCAATTTGCATTGGTTCTACTCAAGCTCTAGGGCAGATGACATTGAGCATGCAAGTTCGCCACTTGAAACGGTGGGTAAAACTCATGCTCTAGGCATTGCTTTGACTTACAAATTAAGCATGGCTGCATCAGTACTGTTGTCTACCCCATCCTAACTGAAACCCACAACTTACATTATACTTAGGCATTAAACATGGGTGAGACCACTGGCATTCTGCAGTTATCATTCAATTAGGTCACTTTAACCTTCAGGTAAAACTAATGCTCCAGGTGAGGTGTGAGCTCACAATCTTGGCATGGCTTAACATGTACTGTCATATAATTACGACCCACTAACTAATTGCACTACAGAAGCTACATCATGCCCACTTACTTTTAAACAGGACAAGCAAGGACCACTAACAATGGGCAGTCGACATTCAACTAGGTCACTTTAACCTTCAGGTAAAACTTCTGCGCCAGATGAGGCTTGAACTCACAACCTCAGCATTGCTTCACATGTACTGTCATATATGTACTGCGTGCTAACCGATTGCACCACTGGAGCTACAAAACCCAAATCACTATTCTTACAGTTGCATTGGTTTACACAAGCTTTAAACAAGAGACCTACTAGAAGAGCTGAGATGGGGTATGCATCTCATATTGTAGGGGTCAACTCTGAACCTAGCTCCTATCCCAGCTCCCAATTAAGTGAATATTTTTACCAAATTTGTATTTACCGATCACACAGAGTATATACTGGTTAAATACTGGTATTTACCTGCTATCAGAAACACTGCTTCAGATGAGGCTTGAACTCACAACCTTGGCAAGGCATCACACATACTACTCTGTAAATCCCAAACACTAAACAACTGCACCACTAGAGATAACAAAACACACCTGAAGTCCACTTGCTGGAACACGCTGGGAATGTTGAGATTGGGCATTCAAATCGGTACCTGAACCATTGGGTAGAACTTTTGCTCTAGGTAAGACACACAACCTGATCATGGCTTCACCTGAACTGTTCTATAAACATCATGATTCCATTTTAAGCATTGTTACCCCCGTACGAGGAATCAATAAGACATCAATTAGAGTTTTCCAATGAACTCCAAGAATGACGATTTTCCAATGCAAGTAGTAGGCCGAGTGGATAACATGTTCATTATTGGTTTTTAGTTCTAGTTGTTAGGAGGTACCATTACTTATACAGCAGTACATGTAACGCCATGCTGAGCTACACACTAAAGTAGTGATATTAACTTATTTTCCATCTCTTGTTGTGTGATCTCCTCACTTTAATATATATGTCATTGAATCTTTTATGTAAGATTAAACTGGATATGACTGTTGAGCCTCTCTTTTCCTACATAAAGCTCTTTATCTCATGGTTCCTCAGCAACCGATGTACTTTGCAGGTTAATTATAAGTTCAGCAACAAAGCTTTGAAGTAAGAGAGAAGTAATTAAAGCAATTAACACTGCTACCATCAGTATGGTCCATCTGTTGCCTTCTTTCGAAGCCATCTGTCAGAACTGCACATAATGGTCATGTGTCTCTTCATGATCTCTTTCTAAATTAAAAACTTGTTTTCCTTTCAGTAATGAATGCACTTCAACCTGTTTAATGATCAGCAGATCCACATATCTAAAAAAAAAATTAAAAAAACTGCATTCTTTAAGACCAGTATCTGCTTCTCACACATCAGAACTTGTCTGTGATATTGTGACTCTGCTTCAAAATCCATTAAAACCACTTTTACAGCTAGATGCAGTCTCAGTTAGATCTTATTTATTTGTAGAAATAGATATGCTCTTTAATAAAGCTGTAGAACTTTTCAGTATTCTAGCAGAGTCAAGTAGATGGTACACAAAAGTCAGAGTTCTACCTTAACAGTAGAAAATACATTCAAGACAGAACAACTTAAAGCTCACCTTCGGCCACTGCATCCGGCCTTGGAGTAACTATGGACAATTAATTGTCCTTTTCCTCTCACATCGCTAATCTGACATGCTCATGAAGAGTTCTCTTTTACAACATCAGAAGGATTCGTCCATTTCTATCCATACAGGCCACTCATCAGTTGATGGTCCAGTCTACTGGCATTTCGAGACTAAACTACTGCACCTCAATCCTGGAAGGTCTGTCTCTGAGCTCCATTAACCCTCTACAACTGAACCAGAACGCAGCTGTGCGACTGGTTTTCAACCTTCCAAAGGTCTCCAACACCACCACATTGCTACGCTCCCTTTGGCTTCCTGTAGCTGCCCACATCAGATTTAAAACTCTGTTGCTTACCTACTAAGCCACAAATGAACCAGTACCCACCTACCTCAAGCACTTATCACACCCCGCACTGCACCACCCAACTGAACCTCTCGACCAGTGTTACCATCTCTCAGGGCATAAGGAAGACCTTCATCAAGACTCTTCTCTGTTCTGGCACCTCGGTGGTAGAATGATCTTCATCTACATGTCTAAACAGCTGAGTCACTGGCAGTATTTAAACCATGTCTAAAGACCTACCTCTTCCTGAAGTACTTAAACTAGCAGTTTAATTAAAAACCAAACTGTGTTGTGAACCAGTATCAGGATGTATGTATTAATGGAGCTCTGGATAAGGGCATCTGCCCAATGCCATATCTGTAAATGTAAATATAGAAGACAAACATCAAATCGAACAAATAATAAAAGATTGGATGGATGGATGGATGGATGGATGGATTACATTACATTACATTACGTGTTAAGGAATAAACCATGACGGATGTGTGATAAAGCAGAGTTACCCTGTTTTTATTCTCCTCTTACACCATGACAATATGGTCAAGATTAACCTTTTAAAATGTATTAAAGCATGATACATTCAACTTTTTATCCATTTATAGTTACATTTAATGTTGTGAAACAACGGTGAATGACTTAATTCCTGTTGTCACGTTATAGCAGTTATAAACACTCATTCCCTCACCATCTCTCTCTATTCTCTCTCTCTCTCTATTATCTCACCCTATTCTCTCTCTTTATTCTCTCTCTCTATTCTCTCTCTCTCTCTATTATCTCACCCTATTCTCTCTCTTTATTCTCTCTCTCTCTATTCTCTCTCTCTATTCTCTCTCTCTTATTCTCTCTCTATTCTCTCACTCTACTCTCTCTCTTTATTCTCTCACTCTCTATTCTCTCTCTCTCTATATATTCTCTCTCTCTATTCTCTCTCTCTCTCTCTATTCTCTCACCCTATTCTCTCTCTTTATTCTCTCACTCTCTATTCTCTCTATATATATTCTCTCTCTCTATTCTCTCTCTCTCTATTCTCTCACCCTATTATCTCTCTTTATTCTCTCACTCTCTATTCTCTCTCTCTCTATATTCTCTCTCTTTATTCTCTCTCTCTCTCTATTCTCTCACTCTGCTCTCTCTCTCTTTCTCTTTCTCTCTCTCTCTCTCTCTCTATTTCTTTAGTCCCTCTCTCTTTATTCTCTCTCTTTATGTTAATAAGACCAAAACATTGCAGCTTGTTACAGATGTTACCTTGAAAGAGTAAAGCAGTGTAAAACTGTACTGAAGATGTGGGAAAATTTAAAGTTACAGCTTTACCTCTGACTGTTACAGAGCTCTGGCACTGGAGACTCCTTCCATAAACATTACATAAATATCTGCTTACTTTAAGAAACTTAACCGTATCAGCGATTACACATGATATTTATGAGGACCATCTGCTTCACAAGTCCCTGTGAATGAGCCTTTAGAAAGGAGAAATTAATCAACACCTTCAGACCGTTCTGAATCCAGAATTCAACAGCGCTGTGGTGTAAATTAATATAATGAATATAAATAGATTTGTTTAATCAGTTAAAACATAGTCTGGGTGCTTTTAGAGAGATATATTCCAGGGTTAGAATATGTAATAAAAAGAATTACTCTTCTGCATATTCTAATGACTTATTAGTGGTAAATGCTTGTGATTAATAATGCAATGCCACATGCACATTGTCCTTAATAGATCAACTGTCATTTATTTATATTTATGAATAAATCATGACTTGGAGAGATCAAGGCTGCCAACATCCCAATTACACAGTAATCAAAATGAATATTTAATCAGTGAAGTGCTGCCTTTGTGAAGAACGTTATTTATACAGTAATTAGGGATTAAGGAAAATTGCGCAAACATCGACAGTAACTTTAACAGCCGTAATTATTCCTCAGTATAAGATTCTGCTTTTAACAGCAATGAAGTTTTAATAATCTCTCCAAGAGGGAACAGAATCAGTGTGAATTGAAATCTCACTTGTCATAAAAATGTGAAATCCTCTAACTATTCTGTTATTATGGCTAGTGCAGAGAATGCCATGAATATTTAATAGCAGTATGTCAGTCAATAAAAAAAGAAAATTGCCTTGGGAAATGAGGAAAAAAGGAAAATCGAACCATGATGTAGCAACAAAAACACGGAGAACTTGTTGGAAAAGATGTCAGTTAGAATATGATAAGTTTATCCTTTTACATCGCTTGGTATACTAGAAAAATGTAACTTGTAAAATCAGCAAAAACATATTTATTACCAGCACCGTGACCAGAACTACACATCAGCGTCGGATCTAAATTCAGATAACAGTGATTAACTCCGTACTGCAGGAAAATCAAAGCTTTTGCTCTTTTTCAGGTTTATTCAACAACAGATAGAAACAGTGAGAATATGTCTCTGTTTAAAGAAAATAACTGAATTATGATTGTGCAAAGTAAAAACAATGAAAACAACAAATATTTAAATATTTACAGCTACTTACTGGGCATGTCGAGTATGTTAGATTACACGTGCTATTTAAAGTTATTCATGCAAAGAAAGAAAGTAAAAAAAGTAAAAGTACATTTTTGTCTTTACAAATAAACCTGAATCATAATAATAATAAAGATAAATGACTTCCACATCTGGCCAAATGAAATACTCATCTGGTTTAGAAGTATTACAGATGTGCCTCTACTGTAACATCCTAATTCCTCCCCGTGTTCCTTCTCACTCCTGATTGTTTTTGTAGAACTTCTCCAGTCAGCACTCGTTGGGTTTTTCAGCAGTATATTGGATAACAGGTCTAATCACACTCATGTACAACGTGTTCTGTTTTTGTGAATTTAAATCGAATATACGGCACAGTGACAAAGTGAAAATGAATTTTTTATCAGCGGTTTCTCACACCTACACAATGGAGATGTCTCAGCTTTAAGTAACAGTGTCTTAAAGGAAGGAAAATGTTTTATTAGTGTTTGACAAGTGGAATAAAACCAGGTCCTGGTACTGCACTCAGACTTTTGGACCGAGACCTGAGACTCTGTAGTGAAACGAGGCCAGGTATTCTCAAAGCCACTTCTGTCTGAGAAGGAGACAGTGTGTGTTCACAGCTGGGAGAAAAATTACAGCACCGATCCAAACGGGATTTTCGGATTCCTCCCGACTGCCAAATGTCTGGACAGCAAAGTCAGTAATATCCTCACGGGTCGAGTGTTTCACATATGTTCAGTTAAACACATGCAGTCTCTTTTATGTTTATGTCTGATCTCAATTCTTCATGTCATATATGTGGGACAGTATCTAACACCGTATCTCATTTCTGAGCCTGTAAAGAGGATAGAGAACGTCGTTCCCTAGCACTTCTTGGCTGAGGAGTAGGGTTTTTGGGCTGGTGCTGTGAGAGAGCAATAAGCAGGTTTCACAGCCGGGGGCCGGCAGCGAGCACTCCGAGACCTGATTGTGAATTCAGAGCTCGTTCGTACAGAATCAGAGACATTCTCTCTCTCTTTCTCTCTCTCTCTCTCTCTCTCTCTCTCTCTCACTTTCACTCTCTCTCTCTCTTCACTCCTCTAATCCTCCCTCCCTCTATTCCTC